GTGTGTGTGTGTGTGTGTGTGTGTGTGTGTGTGTGTGTGTGTGTGTGTTCCCTTCCTTCTTTTCTCAAATTTTTATTTTTAGGTATAGGATCTCACTGTTGCCCATGTTGGGGTGCTATGGAGTGATCATATAACTGCAGCCTCTGCCTCCTAGGCTCAGGTGATCTACCTGTCTCAGCCTCCCAAGTAGCTGGAACTACAGCCACATGCAACTACACCTGGCTAAATTTTTTTTTTCTTTTGAGACGGAGTCCCGCACTGTCGCCCGGGCTGGAGTGCAGTGGCACAATCTTGGCTCACTGCAACCTCTGCCTCCAGGTTCAAGTGATTCTCCAGCCTCAGCCTCCCAAGTAGCTGGGATTACAGGTGCCTGCCACCACACCCGGCTGATTTTTTGTATTTTTAGTAGAGACAGGGTTTCACTATTTTGGCCAGGCTGGTCTTGAACTGGACCTCGTGATCCACCCATTTCAGCCTCTCATAGTGCTAGGATTATAGGTGTGAGCCATCGTGTCCAGCCCACCTGGCTAATTTTTTAATTTTTGGTAGAGACAGGGCCTCATTATATTGCCCAAGCTGGTCTTGAACTCCTGGGATCAAATAGTTCTTCCAACTTGGCCTCCCAGAGGGCTGAGATTACAGCATGAGCCACTATGCCTGGCCTTCCCCACTTCTTTCATCTAGGTATTTGCAATCATAGTGTATAGACTTTTTTTTTTTTTTGAGATGGAATCTCGCTCTGTCACCCAGGCTGGAGTGCAATGACGCCATCTCAGCTCACTGCAACCTCTACCTTCCAGGTTCAAGCGATTCTCCTGCCTCAGCCTCCTGAACAGCTGAAATTACAGGCACCTGCCACAACACACCTGGCTAATTTTTTATTTTTAGTAGAGATGGGGTTTCACCATGTTGGCCAGGCTGGTCTCCAACTCCTGACCTCAGGTGATCTGCCAGCCTCAGCCTTTCGAAGTGCTGGGATTACAGGCATGAGCCATTGTGTGTGGCCCCATAATGTGTAGACTATTACAGACTATTTAATATCTTTACATTTTCACCTAACATCATAACTTTATCTTTTTTTTTTTTTGCCCACCTACAACTGTCTTGATTGAGTTACATATCTATCATTTTCTGTAATTGCATTCCATTCTTCATAATTATCAAAGAATGTCAAACTCAGTTTTTTAAATAAGTTCAGAGAGTTCCTTTGGTATTTAAACAAAATTTTATATATCTTGAGAACAAACTGCCTTAGTTTGCCACGTGTAAGAATTATTAATTTGTTTTGACCTAAACTTGGAATTGAATATTTTTCTGAAACAAAAACTTGTTTCCTCTTGTCTTAGGCATGCAGAGAAGGAGAAGAAAAGTCTTAGATACATCAGTGGCATATGTGCGGGGAGAAGAGAACTTAGCAGGCTGGCGGCCCCGTGGGGACAGCCTTATCCTTGAGCACCAGTGGGAGCTGGAGAAGCTGGAGCTCCTACATGAGGTATGCAGGGGCAGGGTTGCTCAAATGCGAGAACTCTGGGACAAGATTGCCAAAGTATCAGTCTTCGTCCCTGCTGCTCCGTGTGATCATGGCTTTTCACTTTTCTCTCCTTAGATCTTAATGAGCTTTGTGTTTGCTAAAACAGTAGTATTGATCTTCGCAGGTGGAAAAAACCCGCCACTTCTTGCTGCTACGTGAGAGACTTGGTGACAGCATCCCTAAATCCCTGAGCGACTCGTTATCCCCCAGCCTCAGCAGTGGAACCCTCAGCACCTCCACCAGCATCTCCTCTCAGATCTCAACCACCACCTTTGAAAGTGCCATCACACCCAGTGAGAGCAGTGGCTATGATTCAGCAGACATCGAAAGCCTGGTGGACCGAGAGAAAGAGCTGGCTACCAAGGTGTGAATCCCTTCATCTTTGCTGAGCATCTTCCCACCATGAGGCTTCACCAGCTAGCCCCTGAGTTTGTTCATTTTCCACACCTTTGTTTGAGGGCCTCTGTTTGAAGGCCTGAGATAATACTGTGAATGTAGAAATAAAAAGTAAGACACAGAGTTCCTTACTCTTGACAAGCTTACAGGGGTCAGGCACAGTGCCTCATGCCTGTTATCCCAGCACTTTGGGAAGCTGAAGCAAAACAATTGCTTGAGCCCAGGAGTTCCAGACCAGCCTGGGCTAACATAGTGAGACCTCTTCTCTACAACAGTAAAAATTAGGCCTGGCATGGTGGCTCATGCCTGTAATCCCAGCACTTTGTCGGGCTGAGGCAGGCAGATTACCTGAGCTCTAGAATTTGAGACCAGCTTGACCAACATGGTGAATCCTCATCTGTGCTAAAAGTACAAAAATTAGCTGGGCGTGGTGGCGGGCACCTGTATTCTATTCCCAGATACTCGGGAGACTGAGGCAGGAGAATTGCATGAACTCAGGAGATGGAGGTTGCAGTGAGCTGAGATAGCTCTACTGCACTCCAGCCTGAGCGATAGAGTGAGACTCCATCTCAAAAAATAAAATAAAAATTTTAAAAATTAAAAAATATAAAGGCTTACAGAATAGCAGGTCGCAAGCATATAGTAGAGATGTGTGTTTCAAATGCTATGCGAGTCAGAGGAGAAGCCTCTGTAGTTGGGAGGGGCTGATGAGCTGACTTTGGATGGATGTACAGGAGGGAGGCAGCGGTGTCCTGCATGATCAGTCTTCGGGAGTTCATGTGGGAATGGAAAAGGAGGTGTGGAGTGAAGAATCCCGTGTACTGCACTGCAGAGTTTAGCATGGATGTTGGGAGCAATGGAGAAATACTTTAAACAGGTGTTTGTGTTTTAGAAAGATTTATCTGGCAGAAATTGAGAATAGATTGATGTTGAAGAAATATGCTGAGAAAGGGAGGGAAGGAAGAATTTTTTTTTTTTTTTTTTTTGAGACAGTCTTGCTTTGTCACCCAGGCTGGAGTGCAGTGGCCTGATCTTGGGTCACCACAACCACCGCTTCCTGGGTTCAAGTGATTCTCTTGCCTCAGCCGCCTGAGTAACTGGGATTACAGGTGAATGCCACCATGCCCAGCTAATTTTTGTATTTTTAGTAGAGATGGGGTTTCACCATGTTAGTCAGGCTGGTCTCGAACTCCTGACCGTGTGATCTGCCCGCCTCAGTCTCCCAAAGTGCTGGGATTACAGGAGTGAGCCTCCATGCCCAGCCAAAGAATTCTTTATTACAGTAATCTGATGAGAAAAGATAAAAGCTTTTTTTTTTTTTTTGAGATGGAGTGTTGCTCCCATCACTCAGGCTGGAGTACAGTGGTGCAATGCAACCTCCACCTCCTGGGTTCAAGCGATTCTCCTTCCTCAGCCTCCTGAGTATTTGGAATTACAAGCATGTGCCACCATGCCCAGCTAATTTTTGTATTTTTAGTAGAGACAGGGTTTCGCCATGTTGGCCAGCCTGGTCTTGAACTCCTGACCCCAGGTAATCCAACCAACTCAGCTTCCCAAAATGCTGGGATTACAGATGAGAGCCACCATGCCTGGCCAGATAAAAGCTTTTTAAAGAAGGCAAAGGTGGCCGGGTGCTATGGCTCACACCTGTAATCCCAGCACTTTGGGAGGCCAACACTGGCAGATCACAAAGTCAAGAGATCGAGACCTTCCTGGCCAACATGGTGAAACTCCGTCTCTGCTAAAAATGCAAAAATTAGCTGGGTGTGGTAGTACGTACCTGTAGTCCCAGCTACTTGGGAGGCTGAGGCAGGAGAATCCCTTGAACCCTGGCGGTGGAGGTTGCAGTGAGCCAAGATCACACCACTATAGTCCAGCCTGGTAACAGAATGAGACTCTATCTCAAAAAAAAAAAAAAAGGCAGAGGTATATGGGATGAGGAGGAAGGGGAATCTGGCTGGATACTGCCTTCTTCTCCAGGGCTTCATTTAGTCATTGAGTTTTTGTTTTTGTTTTGTTTTACATTTACTGGTTTATTAGAAAGGATGGTACAAAGGAGATCAATGGACAGAAGATGGATAAATACATAGGGAGAGGAGATGTGGAGCTTCCATGCCCTCTCTGGGAACCCAGCCCTTCAGGAGCCTCCACCTGTTCAGCTATCCAGAGGCTCCTGGCTGTTGACATTTTATGTTCAGTTTGCACTTCTCTTTCTCTTCTTTAGTGCCTGCAACTTCTCACCCACACTTTCAACAGAGAATTCAGCCAGGTGCACAGTAGCATCAGTGACTGTAAGGTAAGCACATTAAAGCTGTAATTTTTAGCCAGTGTGTTGATAACTAATTTCTCCACAGCAACCCAGATTACCTGTTCCTGGTTTATGCTGGTTTTCGGCAGCTGGACACATGGGCATAGCATTGTATTTCAAAATGTATGACATACTGCACTGGTATTCATTCTGATTTTTCAGTCAGAACACTGACTTCTAAAGATAAAAGTATTCCTTTGTGTCTCTTAAGAGTGATTAGAAGGTGGGAAACATTTTGACTTTTTCATGAATCCTTTGGAGGAGAATATTCCGTAGGGAAGTAGTATGTTATTCTATGCCAGGGTACAAAGAAACTGTGAGGTTCTTGGTGGCATAAGTTTTTATTGACTTTGACAAAGGGTGAGGTTAAACACTCCAGAATATTTCTGTGTCGTTCACTCAGTTCTAGTCAGCTTGACCTTGAATGCTCCAAGCTCATTCCTGCCTTCGGGTCTTTGCACACCTACTATTTCTTTGCCTGGAATTGCCTTTCTCCAGGTGTTCCCATGGTTGGCTCCCTTACTTCTTTCTTTCTTTCCTTTCTTTCCTTTCTTTCCTTTCTTTCTTTTCTTTTCTTTCCTTCCTTCCTTTCTTTCTTTCTTTCTTTTTCTTTCTCTTTTCTTTTCTTTTTTCTTTTCTTTTCTTTTCTTTTTTCTTCTTTTCTTTCTTTCTGAGATGGAGTTTTGCTTTTGCTCTGTCGCCCAGGCTGGAGTACAATGGTGCAATCCTGGCTCACTGCAACCTCTGCCTCCTGGGCTCAAGCGATTCTCCTCCCAAGTAGCTGGTATTACAGGCATGCACCACCGCGCCCAGCCAATTTTTGTATCTTTAGTACAGGTAGGGTTTCACCATGTTGGCCAGGCTCATCTTGAACTCCTGACTTCAGGTGATCCACCCACCTCAGCCTCCCAAAGCGCTGGGCTTACAGGTGTAAGCTACCACAGCTGGCCTCTCTTGTTTTTCTACTCCATTATCACCTCCTGTGAGTGGATTCTGTTAACCACCGGATAATAAATCTGACAGCTCTCTGAAATTTTCTACCCACCTCTCTTTCCTACTTTTTTTTTTTTCCTATAGCACTAATTACTACGTGATGCTTTTTTTTTAAAAAAAAAAATTTTCACCAGTTGTGGTGGTATATGCTTGTAGTCCCAGCTACTCAGGAAGCACAGGAGGATCGCTTGAGCCCAGGAGTTGGAGGCCACAGGAAGCTAGATTGCGTCACTGCACTCCAGCCTAGGGAACAGAGCAAGGCCTTGTCTCTTAAAATTTTATCTATGTATTTATTTATTGAGAAATAATCATTGTACGCATAGGCTTGTTTTCTTAAATGGCCTTTTGAAACAAGATGTATCAAAGCAAGGCTCTGGTTGTTGAAACTCCCTGTTTTTATTGTAGAGGCAGCTTTTTTCAGCTGAATGTAACTTGTAGTGTTCTGTTTGCTTCCAGTTGTCTGATATCTCTCCAATTGGACGGGATCCCTCTGAGTCCAGTTTCAGCAGTGCCACCCTTACCCCCTCCTCCACCTGCCCCTCTCTGGTAGACACTAGAAGCAACTCTCTGGATCAGAAGTAAGTACCCAGATTTCACTGAGAGAAGCCAATTTAAGAACCAAGGAAAATGTCAGTCTTCCTCTAGCTCAATGGTTCTCGACTGAAGGCAGCATTCGGAAATGCATGGGAGCCTTTTTGGCTATCACAGTGACTGGAGAGGTGCTAGTTACTGGCATCTCTTCACATTGTGGTTTACTAACGTTCTGCATCCTCAGCTCATTGATGAATCTCTTCATCCCTTTCTGCTAGTTTTGTCCTCCATTCCTACCCCTGCTTATCTTCCCAGTCATAATATCATAGGAAGTCCTACCTTGGGAAAAATATTTTGAAACTGTTTAAAAAAAAATATTTTGATGCCACTGCAAAATATGTAGGTAAGAAAAATAAAGACAAGGCTAGGTGAGGTGGCTCCCAGTGCTTTGGGATACCAAGGCGGGCGAATTGCTTGAGGCTGGGAGATTGAGACCAGCCTGGGCAACATAGCAAGATGCTGTCTTTACAAAAAATAAGATAGGCATGGTGGCCTGTGCCTGTGGTCCCAGCTATACTCAGGAGGCTGAAGTGGGAGGATCTCTTGAATTCAGGAATTCAAGGTTGCAGTGAGGTTTTATTATTGCACCACTGCATTCCACCTGGGCAACAGAGCAAGACCCTTTCCTTAAAAAAAGAGAAAGAAAAAGACAAATTTGGTTAGGCACAGTGGTTCATGCCTGTAATCTCAGCACTTTGGGAGGCTGAGGTGGGCAGATCACCTGAGGTCAGGAGTTCGAGACCAGCTTGACCAACATGGAGAAATCCCGTCTCTACTAAAAATACAAAAAAAAAAAAAAAAATTAGCCAGGCATGGTGGCACATGCCTGTAATCCCAGCTACTCGGGAGGCTGAGGCAGGAGAATCACTTGAACCTGGAAGGCAGAGGTTGCAGTGAGCCAAGACCGCACCATCACACTCCAGCATAGGCAACAAGAGCCAAACTCCATCTCAAAAAAAAAAAAAAAAAAAAAAAAAGACAATTTTAGCCTAGAATCCATGATTATCATCATAATCAATTCTTTGCAATGTACCCTCAAACTCGTGTGCATCTTTATCAATTATGCTCACCTGATATTATCCACCTATCTTATTGTACCAACACTGACACAGGCAAAGGTGGCTAGAGAATATAACACAACCAAATAATTTCATTAAATTTAGGATGCCACAGACTGTAAGGACTACTTTATATACTACTAAGAAGAAAAAACATTGGCTGGGAACGGTGGCTCATGCCTGTAACCCCAGCACTTTGGGAGGCCGAGGCAGCTGGATCACCTGAGGTCAGGAGTTTGAGACCAGCCTAACCAACATGGTGAAACCCTGTCTCTACTAAAAATATAAAAATTAGCCGGGTATGGTGGCACATGCCTGTAATCCCAGCTACTTGGGAGGCTGAGGCAGGAGAATCACTTGAACCTGGGAGGTGGAAGTTGCAGTGAGCTTAGATTATGCCATTGCACTCCAGCCTGGGTAACAAAAGTGAAACTCCATCTCAAAAAACATAAAGGGAAGAAGAGGAGAAGCCGGGGGGTGGGGGGGAGGAGGAGAAAAAAAGGAGGAGGAAGAGAAAGGAAAAAGAAGGGCAGAAGAAGAAAAAGAAGCACTGGCACCTAACTTCAACATGCAATCAATTATAAGATGAATCCCAAATTAAGAAATGGTGGCTGAGTGTGACGGCTCATACCTGTAATTCCAGCACTTTGTGGGGCTGAGGTTGGAGAATTGCTCAGCCCACATGTTTGAGACCAGCCTGGGCAACATAGACCTTATCTTTAGAAAAAACAAATAGAATAGCTGGGCATGGTGGCATGCACCTGTGATTCTAGCTACTCAGAAGGCTGAGGTGAGAGAATTGTTTGAGCCTGGGAAGTCGAGGCTGCAGTGAACCATGATTGTACCACTGCACTCCAGCCTGAGTGGCATAGCAAGACCCTCTCTCAAAAAAAAAAAAAAATCAGCTAGGTTTAGGGGCAGGAACCTGTAATCCCAGCTACTGGGGAGGCTGAGGCAGGAGGATTGCTTGAACCTGGGAGGTGGAGGTTGCATTGACCCAAGATTGTGCAGCTGCATGCCAGCTCAGATAACAGAGTGAGACTCTATTTCAAAAAAAAAAATGATAAAGTATAAAACATTTTAAAATGGGCTTTTTAAAATTAGTGAGATACAATTAATTATGCTAGACTGGAGAGCGCTAGAGAGGTGCTAGCTACTGGCATCTCTTTACATTGTAGCTTACTAACTTTCTGCATCCTCAACTCATTGATGACTCTCTTCTTCATCCCTTTCTGCTAGTTTTGTCCTCCATTCCTACCCAGGTAGAAAGTCTGATACAATACAGAGTATAGGAATTTATTTCCACCACAACAGTCATAAGGGCTGATCCAGGTCAGTGGTGCAGTTCTGCTCTGCACGGCCATTCAGGCTCTTTCCATTTGTTTGTTTTCTCTGGCATTTTCTAAGGCAGTGGCCCTCTGAGACTTCAGTGTACATCATCATCTCCTGGGAGGCTTGTTAAAGCACCCATGGCTCAACCCCACCCAGAGTTTCTCATTCCGTAGGTCTGGCTTAGAGTCTAAGAATTTGAGTTTCTGAGTTTCCCAGGTAAAGCTGCTGCTGCTGGCCAGGAGCACACTTTGAGAAACATCACTTTTGGTGTAGCCATGGGACTAAAAAGAAACGGAATAGAGTTCATATTCCAGATAATGTGTTCAGAGGGCTTTAATATAGGCCGAGAGACTGTGACTTAGTAGTCATCAGTGATCAATTTCCTTTCATAACTTTAGAAGGATGACACCAGTTGAATTCAGAGTTAACTTTTTGAAGCCAGCTTGTCTCCTCAGCTGAGCTGTCTGAAATTCAAGTTTGCAGCTGGGGTTTAGGGAGAGGCATTGTGTGTTCCTCCCAGTGAGACAGTACTCACTATGCTTTGATCATAACTGATACTCTTGTTACCCTTTTCTTTCTAATCTCTCTCTTTTAAAGGACCCCAGAAGCCAATTCACGGGCCTCTAGTCCCTGTCCAGAATTTGAACAGTTTCAGATTGTCCCAGCTGTGGAAACGCCCTATTTGGCCCGAGCAGGAAAGAATGAATTTCTCAATCTTGTTCCAGATATTGAAGAAATTAGACCAGGGTGAGTACTATATTGATCAGGAATGCCAGCTGTAAGAAACAAATCCACAGGAAGAGTTGACTGGCTAGCTCTTCTCTATGGGGTCTGTATTGTAGTCTGATGCAAGTTGAGTCTGTGGTGAGAGGGCTGGCCTGGGTTTCTCCAGTTGGATCTCATGATACATCTCCACCCTGGCACAGCATGTTGCCCTGGCGTGGTTTTGCTCTTTTGCTGTATTACTTTGGCAGATAAGATGGGAGGCCAAATAGGTCATTTGCCTGTTTTGTTGAATCTAAGGACTTGGCCTAGGTGTGATGTATTTTGATGGTCCTTAGTTCATGATCATTTTCTTCTTGTGAGAAACTAAATTTCTGCCATACTGTCCTTTTTAGCTCAGTGGTCTCTAAGAAAGGATACCTGCATTTCAAGGAGCCACTTTACAGTAACTGGGCTAAACATTTCGTCATCGTCCGTCGCCCTTATGTCTTCATCTATAACAGTGACAAAGACCCTGTGGAGCGTGGAATCATTAACCTGTCCACAGCACAAGTGGAGTACAGCGAGGACCAGCAGGCCATGGTGAAGGTCTGTTCTCCCTGTCTTGGTTTTTTATCACCACATACGTCCTTCCCTTTTGAGTTCTGAACTCTCTGTTATGTAATGTGAAATTTCCCTTTCTTTCTGATCTTGAACTTCCTGTGTGGTGTGCTATATGCCTTGGGAATATGGCGGGGCAGTCCCCATTGCTGTCTCTGTAGTAACTTTCTTGTCTGCCTGCATTTCTTTCAGACACCAAACACCTTTGCTGTCTGCACAAAGCACCGTGGGGTCCTTTTGCAAGCCCTCAATGACAAAGACATGAACGACTGGTTGTATGCCTTCAACCCACTTCTCGCTGGCACAATACGGTAAGAAGTTGTTATTTTCTTTGAGATGGAGTCTTACTGTGTCTCCCTGAAGTGCAGTGGCGTGATCTTGGCTCACTGCAGCCTCTACTCCCTGGTTCAAGTGATTCTCCTGACTCAGCCTTCCCAGTAGCTGAGTCTACAGGCATGCATCATCATGCCTGGCTAATTTTTGTATTTTTTATATAGGCAGGGTTTCACCATGTTGGCCAGGCCGGTCTTGAACTCCTGACCTCAAGTGATCTGCCTCAGCCTCCCAAAGTGCTGGAATTACAGGTGTGAGCCAGTGCGCCCAGCCTAGAAGTTATTCTATGTTTTCTCTCTCTCTTTGGCTTTTGGCTTCAGAGATACCAGCATAAATAGGAAAGGAAGTATTTTTTAAATAAATTTAAAAGAGAGGAAGGACAGGAGTGTAAATTGGTTGTGGGGTGGTAATGAGGCCCCTGCATCTCATAAGACATCATGATGTTCTGAACCGCCAGGGAGACTGGTCACACATGTGCACCGGTTATTTTCCTTCTTTGTCTTTTTGTTCTCAAGAGGTCTGCAGATGGGGTCCAGGGGACAGAGTAAAGGGAGGACAGTGAGAACCTTAGTGGTCTCCCAACCTCCAGCCCTGTGATTGAGCCTCAGGTTCTCTAAGGGCTTGTGTCACTGGGTCCCAGAGTAGAGACCCTAGAGGCCTAGGCCGGTGGTGGCAAATAGCAAGAGGCTCCAGGAGGGAGCCTCAGAGGGAGAGGACTGTGAGGGGGCAACACTTGCACCCAGACTTCTAACCCTACCTCCCTGTTTGTCCCCCATAGGTCAAAACTTTCCCGCAGATGCCCGAGCCAGCCGAAATACTGACTCTTCCGAGTGCCCTCACTCGCCTTCGAGAGATAAAGAAAGCGTTACCTCTCATTTCTCTTTGTGATTCTTGATGGTGACTCTTGTATGTAATCCTGTGGCTTAACTACTTTTTCCCTCCTTGTCCAGAACTTTTCTAGCTCTCCTGTTCCCCATCTCCATTGCTCTGTACTCTTATTTTTCCCGTGCTGAGAATCTTGTTAGTAGCATGTGGCCTAACAAAAGGAAAAAAATGTTTTTTAAAACACACACACAAACATACATAAAACCCTGAGGGGATCTGCTGAATCTCCAAATTATTGTGGGTGTACTTTGGCTTCCTTTTGTATGATAGGTCCCCATCATGACCACCTCTGATGTCTGTGCTGCCGTCACCAGACACCTTTGTCTGTTTTTCAAGACAACATAATACTTTATTTTTTTTCTCTATTTGTGATATCACTTTAATTTTTCTTGGGTGGCTTAGAGACTAAGGGAGGAGACATCTGGCCTTTTTAGAACCTGAGAGGGTTCTAAAATCTTTTTAGAAAGATTTAGAAAGGGAAAAAAAATCTTTTTTCCCTCTCTGTCTCTTTTTGTCATGGCTAATCCCTGCATTTCTAGTCAGGGAAAAGTGGCAGTGAGCATAGAACTGGGACAGTTATATTCTGAGTCAAAGTTGGGGCTTTTTTAGAGCATAATTATGGGATTTTTAGTTACTGGTAGAGAGAGGAGGAGAGAGGCTTTTCAGTGGGCCTGGGACAGTGGCTGCTGTTGACGTCATGTGAAGGGAAATGCAGGGGATGCTACTGGTGGATTTCTGGGGACCCCAGGGTTTAGCCGTGAGCCATGACGGAGCCACAGGCAGTGTGATTCTTGTAGCTCCTCAGTAGGATTCCTACCCACTGTTTTTTCTCTGTTGGGAGGGAAGTTCTTTTCTAGGAGTTTCTCAATTCTGTTCTTGGCATTAGTGATGGTGGTGGTACAGTTGGAATTAATGCCATATCATACACAAGTGTTCCACAAGGCGGGAGTGTTTCACTTTCTGGTGATAAACTTGATGGTCATTGTTATGATTAAGGTAATGCTGAGTAGGCCAGGCGTGGTGGCTCACGCTATAATCCCAACACTCTGGGAGGCCAAGGTGAGTGGATCACCTGAGGTCGGGAGTTCAAGACCAGCCTGACCAACATGGTGAAACCCCGTTTCTTTTTTTTTTTTTTTTTTTTTTGAGACGGAGTTTCGCTCTTGTTACCCAGACTGGAGTGCAATGGCGCGATCTCGGCTCACCGCAACCTCTGCCTCCCGGGTTCAGGCAATTCTCCTGCCTCAGCCTCCTGAGTAGCTAGGATTACAGGCACGTGCCACCATGCCCAGCTAATTTTTTTTTGTATTTTTAGTAGAGACGGGGGTGAAACCCCGTTTCTACTAAAAATAGTTAGCTGGGTGTGGTGGCGGGCACTTGTAATCCCAGCTACTCGGGAGGCTGAGGCAGGAGAATTACTTGAACCCACGAGATGGAGGTTGCAGTGAGTGGAGATCACACCACTGTACTCCAGCCTGGGTGACAGAGTGCGACTCCTTCTTGAAAAAGAAAAGATAATGCTGAGTAGCGACCTTATGATTGTTAGAACTCCCTTCGATCAAAGAAATGTCGCTTTCAAGCGTAAACTTGGAAGTCTCCCTGTGAATTCAGCAGTCGTTTTCATTGATGCTTGTCAAATTGAAGATGCTTTCAGTGATGCTTATCTCTCTATACTCATAAATAAGCAAATGTGGCAGGCTTTCCTTTCTGGATCCCAGGATTAAAACTAACCCCAATCACTACTCCAAACAACACAAAATATGCCCAGGATTTGTTGCTTGTCCCCTGCTGTCTCACCCCTCTTTGTTACTGGCTCTTCCCCATCTGGTGTGGAAGTACTGCCCAGGGAGAAAGGAAGAAGCTTACTGCGGGACAGACCAGGTCATCTGGCTCTCAGAGACTGTCAGAGAAGATGACTCTTTTTCTTTCAGCTGCCACTAAGTTTTCCAGGATGAGAGGGGGCAAAAGAAAGCCTCCAGGTGACTTCCTTTGCTTTGCCAGTTGTCTTGGGACTGTTTTACACCATCCTTTATTTCCCTTGCTCAGACTTCTCTGTTTCACCATCGCTCAGGCATTCAGGAAAGTGTCTGCTCGCTCCCACTTGCTGAGGTCCATGGCCTTGAAGTTGCTGACTCTCAGGCGATAGGCAGCTGGATTACTTTCCGCTTCAGGCAGCAAAGGCCAGGGGCTCACACGCCTCTGCAGAGTTGTTGCTAGGGAGACTTGTGTCATCATCCACAGTCTTGTTTCTGACTTCCTAGTTGGGCTCATCTCTGAAGAACAGGTCTCCCAGCTTCTGTTATTTTATCTGCCTTGTGAAGAAGAGGAAAAGTTAATCGCAGAGAGAGAAAGGAGAGGGTAGAATCACAGGCTGCTTCTGTACCTGAAAAGTGACCAGCGGAAACTCTATGGCGGATTTTTTTTTAACTTTCGTCCTCCTGTTAAAACATAGGTCACTAACTGTGATGTTATTTGTTTTCTAAGTGATATGTGAGATTTTTAAATGTAGTTAGAAGTTTCTTCATTGTCTGATGGACACAATATGCCCTTCTGGTGTATACTCAAACCAGCAGGATCTGTTGGTGCTTAGAGTTGGCTGCCTGGACTGGAATTAAATCTAATTTCAGCGAAATGAAGATGGAATTTAAAGGTCACTTTTAAAATTAAGTCATTGATGCTGCTGTTACAGAGTGTGACAGGATCCATGTCTGTGACACAGGACGGTGGAAGCCTGAGAGAGAGTGAAATTATGTGATACACTGAAATGACTTTTGTTTTTCTTTTAACTCAAAACAAAACTGGTTGGAAAGTCTTTGCTTTGGAAGTGTCAGATGTTAGAACAGGCCAAACTGGACTGTCTGTTCATAGCGTGCCTGGATAAAAAGGCCTCTTAGGGGCCCGGAGGGAGCAGAGTGGTCGTGTCCTGCGTGTTCTCTATCTTTGGAGAGCCCCTGCTGTGGCTGGGAGGTGCAGACAGCCCCTGTTGGCCCCTAGCACATCCAGGTTGGGTGCAGCCTTTCCCAATAGAACCATCCCCGCTTTGAAGCTCTGAGAGAAGATTTATGGCAGGAACTGTTTGTGAGGCTCTAGCTGTTGCTGTTGTGGTGGGAAAGTTAAACTCAGCCCTTAAGGAAACTACCTTTATTTATTTATTTATTTTCTTAAAGCACGCCTTTAAACAAGCAAAAAGTTTAAAAGGAAGAAAGAATTATTATGCAAATTCAGAGAAATTAGTGCTAGTTAAAACTAATCTCCTCCTCCTCCTCTCTCATCCTCCTTTCTCCCGCCAAAGCAAAATATGGCCTCACTACCAACCCCAAACCAGTGTTCAGATCATCTCTGTGTCTGTGTGCCCTCCTGGGAGTCAATCAGCGCTCAGGCCAGGACTATGCAGGGCCAGCCAGCCCATGCGCTAGTCAGGAGCACAGGCCAGGGCTGTCTGTGGCAGTGGCCGGGCACCTGAGCCCCAGCTCGTTGTTAAATATGCTGACGGCAAGGGGCAATGGAGTGAGGGTTCCCAACTAAGAACCACTATTATTTGATATTTTTTCCCCTTCAGTCACATAGAGTTCAGATAACTGCACCTATTTTTATGGATTTTTCAGCTAATTTCAGATGAAAGAATTGTAAACTGCCTCTTGGGATCTAAAAACAAGGTGACTTTTCCTGGCACATATTCCAAAGCAAAGACTTTGTTGCCTGCTGCTTATTGTCTAATTTACAGGGATATTTAATTGTGTCGGGTCTATGTATATTTATACAGCTATACCTACTTGCACAGTGGATTGGCAGAGAAAGGATTCTCCAGTGTGCATGCCCATCGGTACTCTTTCTGCATTTCCCTCATGCTGCGTCCTGCCCAGGTTCCAATGGACAGTAATCAGGGCTTGTTCATTTGACTTAGGTCTTTCAGTTTTCCTTTTGGTTCTCTTTTAAAAATGTGATTGTTAACCTGTTCCTTAAAAAAAGATTCAGCCGGGCGCGGTGGCTCATGCCTGTAATCCTAGCACTTTGGGAGGCTGAGGCAGCTGGATCACCTGAGGTCAGGAGTTTGAGACCAGCCTGGCCAACATGGTGAAACCCTGTCTCTACTAAGAATACAAAAAAGTAGCCAGGGGTGGTGGTAGGCGCCTGTAATCCCAGCTGCTCGGGAGGCTGAGGCAGGAGAATAGCTTGAACCCAGGGGGTGGAGGCTGCAGTGAGCCGAGATTGCACCATTGCACTGGGCGACGGAGTGGGACTCTGTCTCAAAAAAAAAAAAAAAAGAAAAGAACAGTTTTGCTGCTGATCTCAGAAGGTTTGCTGGATGTGTTTACGTAGGACTCTAACTTGTGTGCACTACATTGTCCACCAGCGATTCACCCTGGTGTGTGGCCAGACCACGACTGTGTAGCAGGAATGTTTTAATTTGCGCTTCCTTAGTAAATTGAAATATCAGCCGAGAGATTATTTGCCGCTGTTGTTCAAAAGACCATTTATGAAGTTAGTATTTAAGCCCCATAAAATCTTTAAAAAGCCTCTAGTCATTTAAAGGAAGAAATCAGAGTTGCTATAAAATTCACGTAAAAAACTGACAGCCAAACGACTGTGCTCAGATGGAAAGTCTGAGCCGAGGCTGGTCTCTTGCCAAACCCCGGTGGTCGTGTATTGTTTTTCATGTCTTCGAGTTGATTTTTTTTCATTCTGCCTATTCTGCCATCAGTTCACCTGAGGAGTCCATCAGGCTTCTTGTATTTAAGGCATCGTCTTAGAGTCTGTGGCTCTAAAGTACCTGTCTGTTGAGATTTCAAGTCTCTTGTCGCCATCCTCACACATGACAACAAAACTCATAATGCATAAGTGGCCTTTCTGAACCAAGACTTTGCAAATTGATCTCTCCCCAGTGAAGGAGTTGAGCACATTAGCAACAATGTACATTATTAATTTCGGATTTTCATTTTCATGTTTTATTTTGTAAATATTATCTGATGTTTGGAGCTTGAGTATACAGATTGTAAATATAGTTCTTGTATTTGTACTAATTCTGATTCTCTTGCTGTATAGCCTTAGATGTGCAACGCAGACATTATCTAACTGTGTATGGTAACCTTGCATCACAGAACTATTAGTGAACGAGGTAAAAATAATAAAGGTACAACCAGTGCATCAGAAAGCTCTCGATGTGCATTTATTCTTGCACCCCTTGAAAGGTAATTACACAAAGATGTCTTGACTTGCAAAGATGATACCTTTCTAAGACAGAAGTCGTGATATCACCACTTATGTGTTCCTTTCTGATATTCAAAATGGTAGTTTTTATATAACCAAGAAAGCTAATATGGTGCTATTTCTTTATTTATTTATTTATTTATTTTTTGAGACGAAGTTTCACTCTTGTTACCCAGGCTGGAGTGCAATGGGGCGATCTCGGCTCACCGCAACCTCCGCCTCCTGGGTTCAGGCAAT